TTTTTTTTTTTTTGATTTGGACGCGAGTTGTATTCTGCAGTTGTTGCTGAGGTATATAAGAATAAAAATTTTGGCGTGTTGGGGGGACCTGTTGAAAGCACCGAGTAACTTGCTCGGTGAAGCTTCTAGTTTTTCATTGTTTTATAACCTATAGATGTTTAAAACTTTTCATTCTTTTTTCTTGTATTATTCTTGGGTTTCTGTGCATTTCTGTTTTTTACTGAAAGGGATGCTTTCACTTTTGTGTTGCACTGATGCTCTTGTGTTTTCCCAAGCTGCAATGTATTGTAGTTATTTCAAAACATTCTTAGCCCAACTTTTATTTGATGTTTCTGAATTGCTACTTTTTTCATAAATTGTTGGAAGTGGTTTTGCTTTTTAGTTGGTTATTTAATATGATCAGGATCGCTTGAAATTATTTGAGAGAATAGTTTTCGAGATTCGATTACTGAGATGTTGTGAAATGCGTTGAGTTGTTGTATTGTGATTTTTTTTTTGGATGTTAAATGCCATTTTTGCTCCTCTATTTATTTGAAAGTCTGTAGCAATTATTTTTAGCTGAACCGTGAATGTGTCGTTTTTTACTGATGTTGAGCTTCATTTTGTTGTGTTGACATGTAAATCCTCGTTTTATTCTCTTCGCCTGTTTGGGCTTTGATGTTTTTCGAGTCAGATGCCGGTTGGATTCTTGGAATTTTCAAGCAGCAAACGTTATGTTTCTTCTAGTGAATTGAACTAGCTGTGATTTTTGCTTTGTAGCACTTAGAAGTATAAAACTTGTCGCACACCGATTAAAGTGGCTTAGAAAAATCGAATTTCTGGAAAGGTTTGTTGTAGACATAGCGGCCTCTCTGATGTGGGATTGGCTTTATGGTTTGTCGAGAACTGTTTAAAAAGATTCCACATTTTAAAAAGTCGCTAGATAGTGTTTTAGCGTTTTCAATTTTTTGAAGTTCGCTATGTCTGTCTTTTGGTGCAGTGTGGTGAAGTCTTCTATATTGAGGAAGATTGTAGGAGGCGATTGCTGGGTTACTTCGGTGAAGTGGTAAAGCACGTCTTATGATTCTGCTAGTTTTTTGAGCTTCGTTGGGGTGTGGAGGATGGCAAGTTTAAAGATTTAGGAGTATGCAAGGAGATCTGTTGGTTTCGTTCTTAGGTGCCGTTTGTTGAAAATAGGGTAGAAAAGTCGCTGGTGATCGGTGAAAACTACAGTACTGTGCGGGAGGAAGGCAGCAAGTACACACTGTTGAAATTAATAGGGCACCTTTTTTTTTTTGAAAAATTGAGAGCGGACAGAACTGTGAAAGTAAAAAAGACTTGTGAAAATTTCAAATCGGAAGTTTTGAGAAATTGAAGGCTTTCAGAGACAGTAAAAATCTGAATCTAAAAAAGCTCTTTAAATCTGCTTATTTTTGATAGCACTTGTAGTGTTACCAACAGAACAAATTCCTCGCTGCGTGCTACCTGTACTGCAGTATTTGTCTTTGAGCTTCACTGTTGTGAGTCAAACCTGATTTTTGAACTATATGTAAAGAACTAAAAAACTCAAAACAATTCAGAATTTTCAGTACTTGGGTTTAACAGAAATGAGTCTTAGGTTTGAAAAGAGCAGCTTTACTGTTAAAAAAAGCTTAAGGATTCTATCAAAAAACCTAAAAAGCCCAAAAGTATGGGTGTAGGAATTGAATATTTTATTCAAATAATTTTGGAGTTTCACAGTTACAATTATTGTAATTCTAATTTTTCGAAATTTGGGATTTAAAATTTTAATGCGTGTTTCAAAACTCGGTAAAAAGTT